GTGGCCTTCTGTGGTATATGGTACTGACGATGGCTAACCAAATAATCCCCAAGCATTAATTCAGTATGTATAGGTGGAAAATTACGGGCGAGTCCTGGAGGATTATTTTCTGCCCATACTCCTGGAATGTCAAATGATGATCCATCACTCTTTGGGTTTGGGGTTATTGAAATGGAAAAATCAATTAAAGTATTGATTATTTCTTTGTGTATCTGCCCCTGGCCAAATCAATGAAACAATGCGTGCACGCTCCCTGAAGTAATTCACACCAGACACAGGTTCCAGGTTGTTGAATAACTTGAGGAAAGTTTATTCAGAGGGGACGGCAGGTCCCTTTTAAAGCAAAATTACATCATAAGCATTGTCAGAGATAACATGGAATAATACATCAATAATTGGTTAGGTGTTAAGTGGTTGCTCTAATGCTCTGCCTACTGTAGGTGATGTCACCGGGACCATGAGGGTCTCCCACGGTTTCCCGGCGCCATCTTGCTGCACGAGGTAGTTAGTCGATGTTAAGAGGGGAAGGGGGGGGGAAAGGAGGGGTTAGAAGCTTCTAGCAGCCATCTTGATTGAAATATGTGTGCTTAGCTTTATATGTGATATATCGTGAAATGAGTAAATAGACATTTTCTCCAACTAGGAAATATGTGCAGACCTTATTTCCACAACAGTCCCCCCTAAAATGGCTATTTACCATAACAACTGCTGCTGTCCCTAATATGTCCCTAGTTGCCTGCAACCTATCTGTCTTAACAAGCATCGAACACTTCACTCCGCGGGTAACCCGCAGTGGCTAGCCCACCACATCTCCACACGTGAGACTCGCCTGTTAAGACAGACGCTTTCCCTACTCTATCCCTACAGTTGTCTGTTTGAACTGATGTGCTTGTAGGGGTGTATGTGGAGTGTCATCTTCGAGGTCTGTGATATCTTGATGTAGGAAAGTAGGGGTCACGTCATCTACAGTCTTATCTACCGCTTTCTGTAAGTATTTCTGTATGCAGGGGAGTATGCAACAGGTTAAAAATAAGAAGATGATGAACATTATAAGAACAGCTGTCCCCACCTGGAAAAGGGTCCTTTGCCAACCATTCATCCACCCAAACCATTTGTCCCACATGTCGGTGACTCCTGAATTCTTCTTTAGCTCTTCTGCGAGACTGTCTAGTTTCTCTATGGCCATAGTCACCTTACCATTGGGCCCAGTGTTGTCTGGAATGTATGTGCAGCATGTCATGGTCTCGGGGAGGATCTTACATAACCCCCCCTTCTCGGCTAAAATCATATCCAGGGCCATTCTGTTCTGGAATGTCATTTGAGTTGTGGCTTGTAATTGTTCTGCTAGGCCCTGTAGGGCATCCCTTGTGTAGTTAACGAAGCGCTGCTGATTATAATGGATGTAGTTGATCCAATTGACATTTTTGTTAGCAGTTATCATTGGAATTAAGGATTCAAATCCTGCAGCCACTTCATCTCTTGCTTTGAATTCATTAGGCACCCCCCTTGGCACACCTATGGCATCAATATGCACATGGGGGTCGAAGCTCCCTCGGATAGGAGCCTCTCGCTTGGTTCTAGAGTGTGTATGTGTAAAGTTTAACGTGTTATGACTACCATCTGGAATAATGTGGATAGGCATTATGACTTTGGTTAGGGCACACTCCCCCCACCATTGCCCAGTTAATTGGGACCTCAATTGTTTGTCACCACATAACCAATAGATATCCCCGATTGTCTTTGTGTGGTTCATTAGCAGTGATGTAGGTGGATTATGGTAAGTTGAGCAGTATCCTGATGGGAATTTGCCCAGATACAACCCAGTGTTCTTAGGTATCGAATAGCATGAGTAATTACCTGGGTAGATGGTGACTCCATCAGGTGGTTTCACATGTCCATGGGTGATTGGGTAAACTTCCTTCCAAGATTCACATGTTGAGGAGTTAGTGGTGGATTGTGCATACAAACTCAGTACACATAATTCTATTTCAGGAGGTAAGTTCAGAGGTACTGTACCCAGATGGGGTCTGGCACCTCCACATACATAACAGTTAGTCTTATTATGTGAGTTAGCATTATACCTCATCCACTCTAGCCACAAATTAGTGTCTGAAAACCCAGTTTCTACTGCCATGGTATCCTCAAAGGTGGGGTTAGCTATGGCTACCATGTCATGTAGGGTCTTGATGTGTGGTTTCAATGGGTTAATGACCATATGTGTAGTCTCTACCCAGTCAGAGGAGTTTAGCATATCCTGTAGGTAAAAGGTCCCCAATGCGTTATGTGAGCCGCCTCCCTTCCAGTACATCCCCATCACATATTCCCCTGCATCCCTTGGACTAGGGTGTTCTATATTCAGAGTAAGTTTAATGGGAGTTGACCCTATGGGTTTACTCAGGGTCATTCTAGAGAGTAAGGGTTTTCCGTCTTTGTCAAGTCTGTCCAGTGCAACTTGAGGTCTGTAGCCCATGGCCTACCTGTGTTCCACCCGGCAGCTTTCCATGAACTACAATGGTATCCCCAAACTCCTCCAGTCACACAAATGTATGGATCCTTTTTGTTAGGTATGTCCTTGTATATGGCTGCATATTGTGTTTGTGGAAATGTACAAGTAACTATGTCACAGTAGTCAAAGGTGTATGTAGCTACATCAGTATTAGAAGAATTGTACCAAAAAGTGTAAACATGATCATCTTTGGTTATGGCCACTTGTTGGGCCCGGACAAAGTGTAGCAACATAAGAAAACACAAGACACGTGATAAATTCATATTTCAACAGGATCAGCCTCTTCTGGAGCAGGCACTTTTTTTTTTTTTTATCTTTGACAATTTTTATTGAAGTTTTATAGGGGTACAGAAGAGAATAGGGGGGGGGGGAGCAGTGGTAACGTAAAGTATCTCATACACATTGACCTTAGGACAGTGTACACATTTATCATACACAGTTTGCTTTTCATACGATCATTGTGTTATATCGTGATGCCCTGATTGGGTCTGCTGATTATTGTCCACCCCATGCCCTGAGGGGGGGGGGGCTCACATCGGTCCCTTCCAGGGTGGTAATCGACTGGGTTTGTGATTGATGCTGGGTGTAGAGCTTTGGTATTTCATATACCACTGGGGTGGGGGGTGAACCGTGGAAGAGGATCAGAGTGGGGACGGAAGGGAGGGGGGGGATGAAGGGGGGAGGAGAAAGGAGGGGGGGGGAGAGGGTAGGGCTCTCCTAGGTAGTCGGCTGTGTGTGGTCGTTTCTGCAGGACTATCTGTCCTACATGTGTTTTATTTGAGTTGCGGCATTATCGTTGTGTTTGCAGTCTCCAGAATTATTTACATTTTCATTTACAGTTGCATTGACCTTTACATTTACACCCTTTGCTACAGTTTCGTTGTCGAAGGGGCACAGCTGTCGGTTTGTAGATCCCTGCTACCGTCATCTCAGTTGGGGGTTATATTATTAGTATGCTCCATGTACAGTTGCCAGGTTTCCCAGGCTTGTGACCAAACTTTTTTGGAGTGGTTTGAGCGTCTAGCTGCCAGCTCGTAGAGCTTAGTTGTTTCTATCGTTTGTATGCATTCTGGTATTTTGGGTGGGATATTAGATTTCCAATGTCTGCTAATGACCGTGAGCACGGCTATAAGTATGTGATAGATTAAGTATTTTTGCCTGCTCCGCAGCCCCTTTGGAAAGAGGTGGAGGAGGTATATTTCTGGTTTGCGGGGTAGTAGCGTTTTTGTGCTGTCTTGGATAATGGTGGTTATGGTATTCCAGTAGGGTGTTAAGGAGGGGCATTCCCACCAAATGTGGAGCATTGTGCCCTTGTGTTGTTGACATCTCCAACAGATATCGGAGGCCTGTGGATAGGTGGCCTTTAGGCGTGTGGGTACTAGGTACCACCGGTATAAAATTTTCCGGGATAGTTCCATGTGGGAGGCACATTTGGAGAGTGAATTGTGTGCCAGGAGAATCTCATTCCATTGTTTTTCACCAAGAGCATACGTAAGTTCCCGGCAGCTATGAAGGAGAGGTTTTTGTGGTCTTTTGGGGGATGCATAGTCTGGTATAGTTCAGAGATGAGTTTTTTGGGGGTTGCGAGACGTGAGCATATTTTCTCTACCACCGTCAGCTGTAGCCCCTGTACATTGTCAGGTCCTGTTATAGTTTGCTTGCGGAGCCATGATTGCAACTGCATGTAGGGGAAAGCTGCCCTTGGAGTCAAATTATAACATGCTGTTAGGTCTGCGAGATTTCTGAGCTTGTTTTCCTGGAGCAGCTGGTGTAAGTGTGTTACTCCGTGCTGATGCCATACGGTGTAGTTAAAATTAGGTATTATATAGTGTAGTGTTTGTATGGGCATGGCAGGCGATATTTTGCCCAGCCAGCCCAATGTGTGGCAGTACCTGTCCCATATGGTCAGAGTGAGGGCTGTGGTTGGGAGCAATTTTGCCTTAGTAGGCCTGCTGTGTTGGGGAAGCCATGCCAGTACATTGATGGGAATGTTATTAGCATGCTGCGCCTCCAGTTCCATCCATTGGGTTGGGTGGTCTCGATGGCAAGCCGCTAGTAGGGGGCCCAGAATGGCTGCTCTGTAGTAGCTGTCTAGGTTGGGCACTCCCATTCCCCCATTTTTGCGTGGCATGTATAGCGTGCTTTTCGCTACCCGTGCTTTTTGTCTGTCCCATATAAAGGTTAGTAGTGTTTGTTGAGCATCTCGTATGAATGTGGGGGGTATCTTTATGGGTAACGTTCTAAACAAGTATTGCAATTTAGGTACAATGATCATTTTAATTGCGGCAATTCTCCCTGACCAAGATACGAATTTACTCTTCCATCCTAGTAGTAGGTTTTTTATTTCAGTCAGTGTTTTTTGATAGTTTATTTTAAAGAGGTTTGCTAGATTTGGGGTGAGATTGATTCCTAGGAATTTTAGATGGTCGTTTCGCCAGTCGTATTTAAAAGAGATACGCAACCTATCCAAGACCTCCATCGGGATATTTATGCCCATTGCTTGAGTTTTATTTATATTAAGTTTATAATAGGAGCACTTGCTATATTGGGTGAGCGTATCGTGGAAGTTAGGTAGGGATATGTGTGGTTGCTCGAGTGTCAAGAGGATGTCGTCTGCGAAAAGTGTGAGTTTATGTTCCTTGCCTTGTCTCATAATGCCGTGTATGTTTGGGTTGTCCCTAATGAGTTGCGTGAGAGGTTCTAGCGAGAGAATATAAAGGAGAGGCGATAGTGGGCAGCCCTGTCTTGACCCGTTGGTTATGTGGAATTGTTTAGAGCTAAAGCCCCCATTGGTGACTTTCGCTGTCGGTTTAGAGTATAATGTCCTTACTAACCGTAAGAAAGTGTCTGGGAAGCCATATTTGATCAGAACAGCTTGGAGGAAGGGCCAATGCAATCTGTCGAAGGCTTTTTCAGCGTCAAGTGACAGCATAACGCACTGGGCCCCCCCTCCGCTTCCTCCCTGTAGTAGGTCCAAGATCTTTCGGGTTCCGTCCGCTCCTTGCCTACCACTAACAAATCCCACCTGGTCCTCATGTACCAGGGTCGGGATAATGTTCTTTAATCTGTTAGAGAAAATTTTTGCCAGTAATTTGATGTCCGTGTTAAGGAGGGAGATTGGTCTTATATTTTGGCATTTGTTAGGTGGTTTGCCTGGTTTTGGCAATGTAGCCACATGTGCCATGAGCATGTCTTGGGGCACTTGGCCCGTCGTGAGGATATGGTTAAAGGTTTTGTCCAGATATGGGGTCAGGATTGTGGTCATTGTCTTGTAGTAGGAGTTTGTGAGTCCGTCGGGTCCCGGTGATTTGCCATGGGGGAGTGAGTGTATAGCTTGTTGTATTTCTTCTTGTGTGACTGGGTGTCGTAGGATAGTTTTCCGGTGTTCCGTCAGTGTTGGCAGCGAGAACTGTCCAAATAGATTTTGAATATCCTGGGATGTGGGTTGATGTAATGTGGGGTCTTCTTTGAGGTTGTATAATGAGTGGTAATAGTCTGCCATAGTATCATTAATATCTTGTGGGTTGTGGATTTTAGAGCCTTGGGATGTGAGCAGATAGGGGATTTTTGCATTGGATTGTTTTTGACGTAGTAAAGTCGCTAGATTCCTGCCTGCTTTGTTTCCTTGTGAGTAGGTTTTTTGTTTCAGCTTATGTAAAATGTGTGCTGTTTTAGAGATTGCCATGTTGTTAATACTCGTCGTAGTATCATGAATCGTCTGTGCTAGTTGTGGTGATGGGTCTACTATGTTTGCCGCTGTTGCGTCTCTTAAAGTGCGCAGCAGATGTAGGTGTTCTTGTTGTGCTTTCTTTTTTAAATAGGAGGCTCTGCTGATGAGGAGTCCTCTGATGACCGCTTTATGGGCTTGCCACACAGTGGTCGGATGGACATCCGGCGTATCATTAGTTTGGAAATATGATGTCAGGGCTTCTGTTAATGTTGTAGTGAATGTCTGGTCACCTAGAAGGGAATAATTGAGCCGCCACGGTGGCCGTCCCCTATGTTGGTATTCCTCAGTCAGCCCTATTGTGGTCGGGGCATGGTCTGACCAAGTTATGTCCCCGATTTCGCTGTTTATTACTCTGGGAAGCAATGTACCTGTTATGAAAATGAAGTCTATCCGTGAATATGATTTATGCACTGCTGAGTAGAACGTGAACGTTTTCTCATTAGGATGGAAGGCTCTCCAAGGGTCGTATAGGCCGTATTCCCCTAGCAGTGTATTGATTGCTTTACTTTGTGCTTTGAGTGCTTTGTGCCTCGGTGTCGTGGTGTTTAGTGTGGTGTCCATGTGTGGGTCAAGAGGGTGGTTTAGATCTCCACATAATATAAGTGGGGCAGTCTGGTTAGGTGGGAGTGCAGAGAGCACCTTACGTAGGAAGGCGCGTTGGTGTACATTGGGAGCATAGAAGCTGACTATAATATATGGCAGGTTATTTAGGAGGCAATGTAGCATTACAAATCTTCCTTGTTTGTCTTTGATTAGGTTTAGGGCTTCAACTGTTAAGGAGGAATGGAGAAGGATTGAGGCCCCTCTCGATTTGGAGGAGTGAGTTGCGTGATATTGGTGAGGGTAATGTTGTGCTCCAAAGTTAGGCACCCTAGATGTAACAAAATGGGTCTCTTGTAAACAGATAATGTCCGCCTGAGTCTGTTTGGCTTCCTCCAGCATCATGCGCCTTTTATGTGGGGTGTTTAGTCCCCTGCAATTGTGTGAATATATTTTCATGTGATGGGTGGGTGATAAAGGGTGCTCGTTTGCAGTTCTGCTATGCCTATATGGAGTTGCAGATGTTGCAGGGTTCGTATGGTGCACCGCTTAGACGGCGCCTGTGCGACTACGTTATTGCGCCCGGGGATGGGAGGTTCGGGAATGACAGAGGGAAGGGGTAAAAGAAACCAAAGTATATACAGTATGACCCAAATGTGGGTCTTGGCACAGTGGCATCGTGCCATGGGGGAGGAGCGCTGAAACAGCGTCTCTGGTATTGTGGCCGTTGGGCTCCCTTGTGTACATAGTTGCTGTCTCTCCTCAGAGCTATAAGTCAATAGCGACCTAGGTATTGTGCATGGCATTCTCAGTGCTGGCCTGTGGGCATGGGTAAGAGAATCAAATCGGACCCAAGGGAAGGTTTAGCGGGGCGGTGTGCAGGTCACCGCTTGGTGCCTGTCGTGGGTTTCCCACTTGTCGTGTCGGTCTTTATGGTGGGGTGTGGTTCTCCCATCGTAGCTTTTGGATGTGATGAGCCAGGCTACGTAGTGAGGCGGGGCGGTGCGGTTGTAGTGGGTTTGACCTACTCGTAAAACGATAGAGGTTTATATGGTGTCATGTACAATTTTCTCTCTATGGACAATGTCCTGGTGATTTACATAATCGTTGTGCACCTTTGTACATTCTTGGAATACCTGTCTTATGTATGCATAACCTCAACCTTGTAAATAATATTTAGGTATTAGGATCACCTCTAACTACTGGTCTTTTCTTTGCCTATACCATGCCGCCCTTCCTTGTTGCCCAAAGTTTGCCCTGGTTATCACCCATGTGGGCATCCCACCCGCCCGCATCCAACAAACCATGCATAGTGTGGTATGATTGTGTGGTAAGTGAATAAAATGCTAATCAAAGCAGTTGATCACATAAAAAGGAAAAAACTTAAACTAAACTTGTGATAACAATTAGCAGTACAATCACATGAAAAAGAAAAACTTAAACTAAACTTGTGATAACAATTAGCAGTACATATTAATATCTCACGTGTCCCTGGTTATGGCCTGGACGGCCTAGTCCCTCGGGTGGATCATGGCGATTTGTTCCGTGTTGGGACCTGGCGCCATTCTGGTGTCAGACGTCTCGCTGGACTTGCTTGAGTTGTGGGGGGGGGGTTTGTAAGGAGCCCCCAGTCTCTCAATAGTCGGGTGCCTTCTTCCGGCGTGGAGGCCACGTTGATCTCGCCGCTTTTGGTAATTAGGAGTTTGGTGGGATATCCCCAACGGTACCTTATTCCCGCACGTCGCAATTCTTCTGTCACCGGTTGGAAATCCCTCCTGCGCTTGAGAGTCGCCGCGGACAGGTCTGCTAGGATCTTGATCGTGGCGTAGTTTTCATGTGGTTCTGAGCGGATTCTGCTGGCGCGCAATACTGCTTCTTTTATGTGGTAGTAGTGTGCCCTTAGTAGGACATCGCGAGGGATATTGCCAGGCAGATTGCGTGGTTTGGGCACCCTGTGTACCCGGTCTATTAGGAACATATCCGTGGGGATGTCCGGAGCGTATGCCCTCAGAAGGCCTTGCACATAGGCTGGTAGATCATTGGGCATGATGCTCTCCGGGACTCCTCGTAGCCGGAGGTTGTTTCTCCGCGAGCGGTCCTCAGCGTCAGCCATACGCGCCTCCATTGTTTAGATTTTTTGTTCCAGCCGCGCTACATGGACGGCCATATCATTGTGCGCTGTTGCATACTCGCTCAGCTTATTTTCCACGTGTGTGGTTCGTTGGCCTATGTCCCGGACTTTCCTGCGGAGTTGTCCTATGGAGGATTGCCATGTTTGTACTAGTTTGTTGGCCATGGCTTCCATCGCTGCATCCAGGTGTGCCTTAGTGAGGTTTTACTGGCTATCTTGATGTGCGCCCGTGAGTGAGATGTTTCCCACCGTTTGTTCGTCGGCGCCATCTTGGATTGTGCCGCGGTCGGTTTCAGAGCCGCCCGCGGCTTTGTTGTTGAAGAAATTTAGTTTTTCCGCCTTCTGTGTGCTCTTTTTCCCCTTGGGGTTCGCCATCTTGGGTGTGATGAGGGTTTTCTGAGCCCTGGGAGACGATGTCGTCGGATTGCTGGAGCCCGGGTGCCGGAGCAATTTCCTAGGCTGCCAGGTTGCTCGGCGGTTGGCCACGCCCCCTCAGCAGGCACTTTTTTACAATGTGAAGTGTGTATCCAAGAACTCTTCCCAGCTAGTTTAACTGACGTTGCTGTAATCAGGAGCACTTGGTAAGGACCATCAAATCTCGGTTCTAGGGTGTGTTTCCTGAGAAACTTCTTGACCATAACCCAGTCACCCGGAAGCAGCTTGTGTGTACCTGTATTCGACTCAGGATCTGGAATAGAAGAAAACACTTGGGCATGTATCTTGGTCAAGGCATGTGAGAGGGCTGTCACATAATCTACCATAGCGTCTGACTGAATCTGAAGCTGTTGGGGAAAGTAGCAACCTAACCTGGGTGCTGTACCAAACAAAATCTCATAAGGTGACAGGCTGTATTTTCCCCTGGGAGTGTATCTGACACTAAACAGCGCTAATGGGAGACTCTCAGGCCAGGGCATGTTAGTTTCTTGTGACATCTTAAGCATTCTGGCTTTCAAAGTGCCATTCATGCGCTCTACCTTACCACTACTCTGCGGGTGATATGGTGTGTGGAATGCAAGGGTCACCCCCAGTGCTGACCAGACTTCCCGTGTTAGCGAGGCAGTAAAGGAGGTTCCCTGGTCACTTTCAATCACTTCTGGAACTCCATAGCGGCAAACAATTTCTGTCAGAAGGTACTTGGCTGTAGTCCTCGCGGTGAGGTTAGTCACGGGGAAGGCCTCTGGCCATCCTGAAAACATGTCCACTATAACCAATGCATATTCATAACGTCCGCTCTTTGGCATCTGAATGTGATCAATCTGAATCCTCTGAAAGGGGTATTGTGGCTTGGCTAGGTGATTAGGTGCAGTCTTTATGACTTTTCCAGGATTGCACTTAGCACATATAGTACAAGATTTACAGTAATTCTGTGTTAAAGTAGTGATGCCCGGTGCTTCAAAATACTTGTCAATCAGTGAGTTCATCAGGAGCTTTGACAGGTGGGCTGGCCCATGGGCCCATTGGACCACTGCTGGGTACATACTTCTAGGTAAGCAGAACTTGAGATTGATGGTGTAAACATCATCACGGAGTACTGCTCCTTTGTTCTTCCAACTTTGTTTCTCCTGAGGAGTGGCAGCAGCTTGTTGTTCCTTCAGGAGCCTGAGATCTGTAGGCAATGTCTGCATAGTATAGATAGGTGATGTATCTGTGGCCACTCTTCTGCCCACTTCCCATCCTTGCCGTGCTGCCTCCTTAGCTGCCTGATCAGCCAAGTGGTTGCCACGTGCTTCTTCTGTATCTAATCTTCCGTGGGCTTTTACTTTCAATACTGCCACTTCTGCTGGAAGTTCCAATGCATCCATCAGTTCTGCAATGGCTGCCCCATGTTTTACCGGGGTACCAGTAGCTGTAAGAAATCCTCTGGTCTTCCAAATTAAACCAAAATCATGTGCCACTCCCAGGGCATATCTTGAGTCCGTATAAATGTTGACACGTAGACCTTCAGACAGTTTGCAAGCCACAGTCAGGGCTGTTAACTCAGCTTCTTGGGCAGACCTGGTTGGTTGTAGGGCAGCTGCTTGTAATACTTGGCATCCTGTGGTGACTGCATATCCAGTGTGGTATTGTCCCTGTTCATCAGCAAACCTTGAGCCATCCACAAATAGTGTTTGATCCGCATTGAGTAATGCAGCTTCATAAACAGTTGGTAGGTGTGTAGTTTCCATTTTAATTTGTTCAAAACAGTCATGGGGGATATCAATGAGGTCGCAGTCTGTGGTGAGTGGGTCCTCACAGGCCTCTGTGTGGTACCTGGGGTACCCTGTTGTGCAGTAGTTAATGGTCTTTTTATTGATCCCCGTAGAAGTCAGTTGTTCTTGAGTCATTTGGTTCCAGGTTCTGGCCATCGGGCCTAAGTCTTTCCATGAGGTGTTGAGGGATCTGGTGAGAGATATGTGTGGAATAGCTGTTTCCCAATGGTGGTAGAGGTGTGTTACATTCTCTGGAAGGCGAACTAAGATAAGCATAGTACCTGCAGAGTCCCAGAATAAGTCAGTCAGGGTAATTTGAATTTCTTTGAGCTGGAATAGTTCTTCCTCATATTCCATATCAGGGCTTGGTACGTCCCTAAACCACAAGGTGCAGTGGAGTAGGGCCTCTGGTTGTTCATCATGTGGAGGTGTAAGTGTAGGCAACTGTAAATCTGCTTGAACCTCTGGGTTGATATCCAAGCTGTACCAATGATGCACAATTCCACCCTTGGGAAGTGGCAGAAGAGTGGCTGGGTTCAGGGAAAGGCATCTCTGGAGTTTTACATTGTCAGGTAGGAGTAAGGAAGTCTGTAGGTGAAGGTGACGTTGGGAGGAAAGGTGCTTAGGTTGGGTTTGTTGCAGGATGGCAGTAATGTCATGAGGGGCCAACACTGTGAGGTGATGGCCAAGAACAAAATCATTGGTTTTGTCCAGGAGGGCGCTGGCGGCAAACACCGCTCGGAGGCAAGAGGGGCTACCTCTCGCAACAGGGTCAAGCATGCAGGAAAAATAGCCAATAGTAAGGACTCCGGAAGCATGTCCTGACTTTTCAGAGACAAACAAATTGAAAGGAAGGTGGTAGTTGGGTAGGCCCAAAGCAGGTGCAGAATCAATAGCTCTTTTCAGATAGTTTCATCAGTGAGGTGAAAGGGCTCACTCCTGAGGGCATCATAGAGTGGCTGCATGAGCTTTGATGCTTCGGGTATCCAGGACCTGCAGTATGTGATAAGACCCAAAAAGGCATGAAGAGTCTGATGTGTCGCAGGTAAAGGAAGTTGCAGAATGGCTTGCACACGTTGAGAGGTTAGATGTTTGGTGCCATGGGAAAGGCAATGTCCCAAGAAGACCACAGAGGGCCGGCACCATTGTAGCTTTGATTTTGAAGCTTTACAACCAGCTGCAGCGAGGAAACATAGGAGATCTTCTGAGTCTCGCTCTGCAATGAGCAAATCAGGAGCACAGAGAAGGAGATCATCAACATATTGAAGTAAAACAACATCCAGATGAGATTTCTGCCAGGGATCCAGAACCAGAGACATTGCATGAGCGAACTGTGTGGGAGAATTCTGAGCTCCCTGTGGCATAACAGTCCAGGTATATTGTTGTCCTTCATGCGTGAAAGCGAAGAGAAAGCAGCAGGAAGGGTCAAGGGGGACACTGAAAAAGGCATTAGCTAGATCCACTACAGTGAATATTGTTGAAGTTGGTGGGACTTGGGACAAGAGGGTATGGGGGTTTGGAACAATAGCAGTGTCTTTTATGGTTACTTCATTGACAGCACGGAGGTCCTGCACCATGCGGTACTGGTCAGGCTGACCCTTAACAGTTCGCTTTTTGACAGGAAAAAGAGGTGTGTTGCATGGAGATGTGCATTTGATGAGGGCACCTTTGGCAAGTAGACTGTCAACTTGTTTGGTGATGGCTTCAGCTTGTGCTGGCTTCAGAGGATACTGTGGTCTACGAGGAGGTAGTGCCCCAGGCAAGAGCTGGACCAAGACTGGGGGTACATGTAAGCGTCCAATATCATCCGGGCCGGTAGACCAAAGTTCTTGGGGGATCCGATCCAGAGCACTGGGGGTGTGTGTGACCCGTGCATTCCCTGTGTTGTCAGTTAGGTTCAGCAAGATGGGGAGGGAACAGAGTACAGAGGTATCTTTTTGTGATAAGGGGGTTGTCAACTCAACTTGGCCATCTGCAGTGAAGGTAATAGAAGCCTGAAGCCGAGAGAGGACATCGGCACCTAAGAGGTTAATGGGGCAGGTAGAGGAAACAACAAACCGGGAGAGGATGTGTGATCCTACGTGTAGGAGCTTAGTAAGGGGGTTACTGCGTGGTGTACCATCCACCCCAACACAGGAGACATCGGTGTCAGATAAAAAGGAAGGGTCTGGCAGGTCTTGTTCCCTAAGGACACTACGGGCTGCACCTGTGTCAACTAGAAAGGTGGTTTGGTGGCCCTCCACGGGGAGAACTACAGTAGCTAAAGGCCCACCCCCATCCCCCGCAGACACGGGGTTGCTGACACAGGCTTGCCAGTTACCTATTGTAATAAATCTAAATGGGCCTGGTCTGGTCCCTGGTACCGGCGGGAAGTGGAAGGGGGGTTAGCAGAATGCATGGGGGGACTGGATGGACGGATGGCGTGGCGGGGCTGTGGCTGACTGTCTTGGAAATCATCGTTGTCATACCCTTCAGCGGAAGGCGAAGTGTATGCACGAGCTTCTGATGCAAGGAGCCGGGCTTGGGTATATTCAGGAGGAGGAGGGGGAGGAGGAGGAGGAAGTTGAGGCAACTGTGGATGGGGTAGGGCAGGGAGGTAACCAGTGGAAGGGAAGTTATAGCCGGTGACATGGGGACTTGGGTACCGGGAAGTCTGCTGACGGAACACTCTAGGGTGTGGGCAATCCCTTCTAAAGTGGCCGGGTTGATTACAATTAAAACAGGTTCGGATTGTTGTGATTGTCCGGTCTCTGGGAAAAGGAAGTGGTGCAGGCAGTGTCTGGGGTGGCTGGTTATACTGTTGAAGGGGTAACTGAGGGGCTTGGTTAGAACCTGTGATAGGAGTGGAGGTAGTATACATCAAAGGATTAGTTCTTCATGGTGTGGGTTGTAAAACCGTTTCCAAACCCTTGGCTACCAACAAGAGAGTGTCCAGTGGTATAATTCTATACTCAGGGCAAGCTAGGATTAACCCCTTACGAATGTGTTCCCTAAGGCCTGCCACAAAAGCTGCAGATAGCATCTGAGGATGTGCCTTGTTATAGGTGCTGAACCCTAAGTCTGAAAAAGTCTGAGTCAATCTAGAGTGATACTTTTCAACTGTCTCAAGTTTATCCTGAATAATGTCATTTATGCAAGTAGCCTGATCAGCTAGTTTATCCTGCACCCAGGCTCGGAGCTGTTCACAGAAAACTTCACCAGAACGAAAATCAGTATCAGAGGTAAGTGGAGCATCGCTAAAGCTCCGTTCCATGATTGGCCAGTATGCGTCACCAGCCTTTATTTCACATAGACTAATAAGATCCCGCCAAGCAGCGGAGTATGTTTTGCGGATCTGAGCCATCCTGCGGAAGAAGGGCATGGGGTGCTTCTCAGGATCAGGGAGTGAAGTCACAAGGGTAGCAGCTTGGGAAGGATTAAAGGTAACATACATAGGTGGTGCACCATCCGCACCATGGTTAATCTGGGTGTACCCCTGGGGGATTGAGCGCCGTTGGGTGAGTCTGTTTCCCCCTAGGCGGGGTGAGCCCTGGTCCACCACAACGACCTCCTCGGGTATCACCGGGCCGCGGTGTAGAGTAGTCTCAGGGGTAGCTGTGGTGGGGACGATAGGGAGGCCGGTGATAGGAGAGGTAGCTGGGTGGAAACCTGAGGCCTGTGGGGAGGCACCCATCGCATAGGGCTGGTCCGATGTCACTGACACCTCGGACCCAACCACCATGATTGGGTAACTAGGACTGGCGGAAGGGACATGAGGGACCAATGCCGTGGAAGGAGCTGTCATGGGGGCCGGTTGGGTTGGGCGTGAGAGGTGAGTATTTAAACAAGGGCAGAGATTGGATCGGAAGGCTCGGGGATGTTAGCGGGAGACGAGGGAGGGGTCGGAGGTTCGGGGGGAGGAGGAGGTAAATCAGAGGGAGGCGGCACAGGGATCGCGGAATTAACCAGGGAGGTAACAGCAAAGAAGAGGGCGGAGATCGAGCTAGACAGGTCATTGGCCATGGATGGGTCGGAGGTCGCCGGGGGAGGGGTCGGGAGGATAGGGGCAGGGGGCTGTGTCGTAATAACGTGGGTGGAGGGTTGGGACAGCAAACCAGAAGGGGGAGGAGGGGACAACGAGGTAGAGGGGGCCGGGACTTCGGGAGGAGGTAACGCTGCGTGGTTAGCGGGAGGGTCCTGGAGGGTGAGAGGGGCGACTGAGCATAAGGGAGCAGGGGTGAGGGGACTGGGATTAACGGGCTGGACAAGCGCCTTCGAAAGGCTAGCAAGGAAGGAGGAGAGGTCTGGGTCCGGGGGTACGGGAGAAGGAGGCTCCGTGGGGAGGCAGGGGTCCGGAGAAACGGGATCAGTGGAGCGGGCAAGGGCCAGGGGACCAGATAAGGAGGGTGAGGGAGCGGGTGTCGCTAGGGATGGGGTACTCGATGTGGAGAGGGAGGGAGAGGAAGGAGAGGAAGGAGAGGAGGGAGCTTCGATGGATGAAACGGGAATGGTTGGGATGGGATCCTGACGAGGAGTTGGAGTGGGTACAGGCACAGGGAAAGGTAGCGGGGGAGGTAAGAGGGCTTCAACAGACATGACGGAGGAGGGGGCAGGGTCACAGGAGGGTTGATGCATGGGAGTGGGTGGAAACGAGTGGAGTGGCATCGGGAAATAGTAAGCACCATCTGCACCAAGTACGGGGCAAAGGGGGGTGGGAGCTGAAGGCACACCCCCGGGGGGTGGGGTCTGCACTGTGACGGGGGAAGCAGGGCGGGAGTTTACTGTTGCGCTCTGGGCACCATCATAGGGCGGTGGTCGTGGGACAATAGAAACAACATCATCATTGTTAGCACTCCTATGGTAAACATATACAATCTGCCCCTCAAACTCCAACTCTTCCTCGACCCATCCCTCTCGTTTCAAACCTCTAGCTACCCGATACCAAGCCTCTGCAACCTTTGTGAGTCCGTTATCCAACAACAAACCTTCCTTGTCTATGAGTAACTTCCTCCAAAACTCAGGTTGTAACCTTCCACTGGGCAACATTTGAAAGCCACACACCTTAGCAATCTTCTTAAGTTTCAACATTGCATCTTCCCCTGCCCTTTCTTTTACAATGTCACAAGCCAACAAGCCCTTAGCAGGTCTAGCGTGTTCCTGCCCCATCTCGTATAGTCAAAGTGTGTCACGTATAAAAGACAGATAAATGGAGGAGGTACTGAGGGAAAAGAAAAAGAATGTCTACAGTGCTCGACTGCCACGAGAACTTGAGCCCCGTGCGTCTTCCCCAAACGTAGACTAGTCACAGGGATCCGCCCACCCGGGATGGTGGTCACG